TCGAAAGGATGACGCTGACAGCGTTTCTTCTGCACAACGGCGAAATTTCGTTTGAAACCAGGACTAATCTGTATAACAAAAAAAAATGAATGGAAATATAACAGTGGTGATTTTGCACAGATTTCAAAACTAACGAGCATTTTAAAAGCTATTCACGTATTAACTATGGCGATAATAAGATAAATTAGATTAAGAATTATGAAACATTAACCATGCTAATGTTAAACAGAGATTTCACTGATTATTGGAAGATGGTCCATGCATTTCAGATGTTAGGAAAGCGATGCTGGAAAAGTATCTGGGTCATTAAAAACATCATTATCAGGTCTAGGTTTGCTGATAATTAAGGCATATCCATAAAGGTACAGTGTGATGGCCAAAAAACTACTCATGTAACCGTAACTAAACAGCCTGTAAAATGCAATGAGGTACGTGCCGCAAAAGCTTAAAAAGAAATAACCGCACGAATAGTCCCCTTGCCTGCTTAACAGAGAGGACGCAAAACTGCTGAAGCTATTCGATGCAGCTATAAACGGTTGCAGAACACCCAGCGGCTGTGATAAAAATAAAGTAAAAACAGCATTCTGATATCGTTTTCTACTTTGGATAATCCTTTAGTCCGATGAATGTCATTTTCATTAATACAGAGAGCAGATACATCGAGCTATTTATCAAAGAATCGCTAAACATGTTGACTACAAAAGCTGACTGTGTAACAGATGTTAAAAGTTCGCATAGAGTGACAGCAGGGGTGCCATCGGCCAGCTTGTTCGAAAGAATAACTGGAAGAAGTGACGCTGTCGCTTAAACGTAAGATAACTGCTTTTCATACCACTATGTTGTACCGTTTCGATATTATTACGCTGACAAAAACGACAGTGTGCGGCGTCGAAACGCGTCGGTAAATGAAGGATCTTATATCGCCTTTTAATTGTTGTCTTGACACCACGGATCAGAAAGTAAAGATTATTATCTGTTACTGAAACCGACATGACATCTCGAGCATAGCTCCTTCTACTCTATGTCACTTTATACTTTATTTAAGTACTTTAGTGCAGATTCAACGAGTATACGACTGCCCTCCCTCAAAACAGAGCAATTCTCGAAACTCTAACTGATACACGGCCTGCGATGACAGGCTAATAGAATTACGACAGATTCAGTGATGCTTTTCATTAAAAACAGAACGTAAAATAAAATTCTCGACCAAGCCAGCAGCTTCGCCACACTGTTAGCGTAAACGTTAAAAAATGAACAAGTAAATCAACGAATTAAACACTGAGCGGAAAACCAGTCAAACTGAATAATATCACTGAGCCAATAATTTGTATTAGTTTCGTAATAGTTTACTCTAGCAATATGACGAAATAACGTTTTCTTAGAATTTTACAGTACCATTGAAAAAAAAAACGAATCATTAGAGATACACATAACCTTTTCATTATTTTTTTCGCAAAACCACAGATCGGTAAGTAATAAATTACCATACTGAAAATTTAAAATATTAAAACTAATTTAAATATCCGCATAGGTACTAGAGACCGTGAACTTATAGGTGTACAAGGAATCAACATCTGATTTATAATACACAAGGCACAAAACATCATGATGTTACCGGCCTTAATCAGCTGTAAACAATATACAGCAATAGAGTCATACAATAATCTTACTACCGCACCAATAACAAATACGGTTATTAAACTCAAAGAATCGATAATAGGCAATTATGCAGAAAATGAAACATCTTACGTACATGGCACAGAAGTTCAATCAGCGAGTGGGAGATAAACTTTGGCGAAACGGCTTTCGGACTAAACTCCGTTTCGGTTGACCTTAAAAAGAAAGAAAATAAACCAGGCAAAGACCAACAGGCTCAACTTACTGATTCACGAAAAATCCTTTCGTGCAACACGTGATGTAAAACCGCTTTTCTTCCAGCGTCAGAACAGCCAAATAAAGCAGATCTCCTACAAAAATGCGAGATATTTTTAAAAAAAAACTACGTAAGAAACAATAATTATTAATGTCTAACATTTTTGCCGTAATCATCTAAAGATTAAAAAAGAAATGCTTCACAGAAAGATTAGTTTCAAATAGATCTTATCTAAAACTGCAGGTAATCTGTCGATCTATAGTCGGCGTGATCACAAAAACCGTTGGTAATTTACTGTCGTCTCATTGAGCATCGCAATGAGGATCCGGTGCTCAACTGAAATATTGAATCACAGCAAATTGGTTTTGAACAAAAAGACAGATCATCGATACACCCGTTCTGAACGGCATTCGTATTAAATAAATTTTACTCTCTTACGTAGCTGATCTGTATCGCACTATGATCCTTTGCGATTAGATGTTTGTCGACTTTCAAATGTTCAAACAATCGATGTCGCCAAAAGATTAGCGCCACTTGATCCATGAATTGCTTTGTGGTGATCCATATACTTTGTGGTTGTGGGACGAAACCGACAACACCGTCGACCACCACAGCGGCATATACTACGAAGGAGGTCAGCAGCAACGGAATGAGGGTGGACTGGGAGCCGATAGGACTTGGTATCAACGATAACAACTATACCATAAGGTGTCAGAAAGATATAACGGTAATGATAAGAAACCGCAGCCTTTTGAGTAATATGCCATACCGTTTCAGCGAAGGAACTCTTAAGACAAGCAAACTTCGCACAACCTCGCGAAAACAAGGTGATCAACGACACTGGGCAAAAGCAGAACAAGTACATCGGAAAATAAAGGAATGAGAATTTTATCAGCTATATATTTCATTAAGTGCAGTCGGAACTTAAGGTAGGTCTGAAATTCTTTCGCAGAAACGTTGGAGTAAGGCCAGGAGAGGAGCTGGAATCTCTACCGCTGCTTGTGGGATTTTCGGTCAAACTGGAAAAACAGATGCAATAGTGGATAACATCAGCGTAAACTTTCTTAAATTTGCGCATGACGTGGTACTGTTTGCCGAGAACTTTGAATCTGTGACGACATTACTCACTATTCCTCAGTGTAAAGCAGGTGTACTGATAGGGGTCACTCGACTAACTTAAAGACGACGAAATGAATGGAAACTGGCAGAACGCAGACGAAAGACTGTCTGACCGTTGATACCGTAGCTGTAGAAAAAGTACCACAACTATCTAGGGAGTACATTAGCTACAGAAGGACGAGAGTGATAAACGAAGTTACGAGGTGGTGTTCGTTGGCATCAGCAGCGAGCGTAAGAAGTTGTTCCGGGAAGGACAAAGACTAAGACATTAACTATAAATATAAATGTCACTCAATATACAGGGCTGTGAAAACCCTTCTCTATGGCTTGGAGACGGCATTACTTAAAAAAGCCGAGAACAAAAACTGAAAAGAGATCAGAAATGCCAATAAGCCATTTAAGATGGGTGGATGATAGCCAATAATGGAACGGCTGATGGCAGGCTGCCTTTAAGAAAGCCTCCAACAAAAAAGGGAGGATCTCGTTAAATCTGTCATGGCAAATAAACGATTGAAGAGTGAGCATTAATTTATTCGATCCGGATGGAATGACTCTGTGGCACCAGGCAACATGTTCAATGCTGCCAACTCAAAAGTCAATTCTCTCAACACCGGTTCAATGTCATCAATATGGTATATAAGTGACATGCGGTTAATAATTGAGCGAGATGAAAATTAGCTTGCTGTCAAACAGCAATCGCTAATAAGGGATGTCAAAAGGGGCAAATTTACAAAACAACGGGGCCGTCAGACGACATACTAATCAGAGTCAAGGAGGAGCAAGGTG